GAGATGCGACTGGCCGCCGGCGTGGCGCAGGAGCGCCGAAATCGCCGTAACCGGCAGAAGTCGGCCAGCTCCTCCAGCTCTGACGACGAGAAGACCGTCGAGAAGAAGCCCATCTCGCCGCAGCCTATTGAGGTGGAGGTGAAGGTGGCAGACAAGCCGCTATCTTCACTCGCCGACGATAAGCCGGAGGTCCAGGAAGACGTTCAGAAGGAAGTCCGGAAGGTTGAGACCGAAGTCGAGAACGTGGAGATCCCTCGTGCCGAGGTGGACAAGATCGAGGTACTGAAGGAGGTGTTGTCTATGACTCCGAAGAAGGAGGTACCACGCAGAGAGCCGGCTGTGGCCGCTCTCGAGGACGTCGTCTCGGAGAGAGTGGAGCGCAGCACCGTCCATCGCTCCACGGAGTCCCTCTCTGGCGACGGACAGCCCCGTATCACCGGCGAGGTCACCGGTCTGGTGGAGGTGGGAGCTCGCCGCGGCCGCCCGCCGCCGGCCGGGTCGCCGCCCAGCAGTGCCGACTCTTCCTCAGACGAACAGAGGGACGGCACTGCGTCTCTGAAGCGCGCCAAGAAGCGGCGTAAGCGGCGCAGCGACAGTGCGCGCAGCTCCAGCTCAGCCGAGCACGCCGCCAACGGAGAGGCGAGTTCCGACGATGAGAAGCAGCGGCCGGTGGTGCGTCTGCCCGGCACGTCGCCGGCGCTTCCGCTCAGCAGCACGGAGATCAGCATCGACACGTCCTCCACGGAGCCCCTGAACACGAGCACGCCAGTCAAACGCTCCGGCGGCGACGAGCGCGACCGCAAGTGCGCCTCGATGGGCGACCTGTACCGGCTGGGTCCGTCCTCACCCGACTCGCCTCCTCTCGAGCGTGCCGTCTCCCTCGAGCTTCGCAACGCCGAGCCGGACAGTCACCGGCTGGGGCGCGCCGTCGAGACCGACATCCAGGAGCCTCAGCTGGACCTGAGCCGCGTCGGCAGGTCCGGCGGATGGCCGACGCAGCCTAATGGTCTGCGGAACGCCTCCAGCGCTGACGGCCGCACACACATAGAGGTGGTGCCGGAGGAGGCGTCTGAGCGGCGCGCGCCGGCTCCCTCCTCCACCGTGGTAATGCTGAACCAGTCGACAGAAGACGTGACGGTCATCTCCACAGAGGCCAGCAGTATGAGCGGCGGCCAGTGGGTGACCGCGCAGGAGGGTGACACCCTCCTCGCTGACGCCGCTACTGATGAGCGTCGCTCCTCAGTCGCGTCAAACTCGTCGCATTCTTCGACGTCCTCCGTTCCCATGGAGATGGACGAGGGTACGCAGACAGCGTCGGCTGATATGGACAGCTCTGGTGTGAACTATGTCTCTGTCTCGTCGGTGACGGTTGGTGGAGAGGACACGCTACTGGCGTCAGCTGGCGGCGCGTCCGTGCTCCCACCTAGTGAAAAGTTCGAGAGTGTAACATATCTCTCATCGACCGAGGTCGGTGGACCGTCCAGTCTGGTAGAAGTCGTCCAGCCGGACGCCACCAACGAAATAGAAGCCGCGGATGATGATGCTGTGAGAGAAGTTGCTGCTGAGGATGATGACGTCAAAGATGATGAAGCAAAGGCAGAAGATGTCAAAGAAGAAGACAGTGGTGATGCTGTTGAAGACAATGATGCAAAGAGCGATGGCGGTTTCAATGGCGTCATTCACAACTCTGAGCGAAACGGTCACGAAGACAGCGAAGGGAAGCGTTCAAGGCACAGCTCCACCTCCTCGTCTTCCTCTTCCTCGTCTTCATCATCGAGCGAGGAGGAGGTGCCACGCCGCCGGAAAACCTTCACCAACGAGCCGCTGGAGGCCTCCCCGGAGCTGCCCGTGCGGCCGGCGCCGGCAGCTCAGAGGGCTGCCTCCGAGCCACGGGAGCCCAGCGACCCGCCGGCCGACTCGGAGCAGCACCGCGTCCTGCTGCGGGGCGACAGCAAGACGCGCCTGCTGCAGACGGTGCTGGACGCCCACGAGGTGATGGTGACGCCGCACAAGGACCGGCGCCACAGCGGCCCGCCGAGCTCTCCGCTCAGTGTCGAGGTGTCCAGTCTGATCCCGCCGCCGGCGCGCGCGCGGCCGACCGCCGGAGCGGCGGACGAGCAGCGAGTCTCGGACAGGGAGCTGATCGAGATCAGTGAGGACGAGCTGGACTCAGTGATGCTCTCCCATAGAGAATACCTGCTGCGCCAGGCCGAGCGGCTCTCTCAGTCGCCCAAACAGGCCTCTGAGGAGGCACAGGAGGCCAGCGAGACGGCCGCTCCGGGTAAGAGCCGACCACGAGCAGCCGTCGGCGGTGACTCGGACGGGAGTGTGACTACGACTCTCATCATCGGAGAGTCGCGACTCTCCGGCGGCGTGACGACCACGCTGATAAGCGGCGGTGACTCGGCCGGTCTGGAGTCGGACTCCCCGCCTCCAGACCTGCGGCCGCCCAGCCCGCAAAAGGAGACCGCCGGAGTCTCGGCCACGGACTGGGACTGAGGGACCTCCGGCAGTCAAGACAGTCAGTGGACAGTGCGCGGATAGGTGGACTCCTAGCAGCTGGTTGCTGCTCCAACCGCAGGGCAGAATGATTCCCGAATTCGTTTTACCAGCTTCAGTCCCAGCTATCTGCCATGCGTTAGAAGTTCAGATACGAACTGGAATGCTATCCAGACGTTTGAAATGCTGACCAGATGTCTGAAGATTTGGACATCTGAACGTTTGATTGTCTGGACGTGTGGATGTCTGGATGTCTGGATACGAGTAATTGCTCACGACCATGGTGCTCAATCTGCTTATAGTGCCGGCCCGGTTATAGTGTGGTGACGAACATTGCCGGCTGCCTGACGCTGGAGGCGATAGGTGGCGCGCTAGTGGCGATCGGTGGCGCACTCCCACCGACGGACTTAATGTGGCGCACTGCGTACGGACTGAACAGAGCGGGCGAAGCGGGGCTTTGTCAGTGCAAAGTTGTATAGTTATAGTAATCAGATGTTATCGGCAGCATCGATGGTGTAATTACCAGATATTATATGACGATTGAATTTTCCAGATGCCATTGTGTCTGTTTATCTTGTGCTTGTAGATGTAAGACATTGAAAATTACTTTTTAATTGATAGTGCCTTCTGATACATAATGTCGACATCGGGGGCTCGCCCCTTATCATCCGGGAAATATTATACATACGTACCGGAAGCCGTATTACGATACATTTTAGCTACATCCAAGTGTTTATTACGTAAGTTTTTAATTATGAATGTTGGAACTTGTTGAAACGAATACGGAATACTTACGGTTCGATCGCCTTAGTTTCCTTGTCTTCAGCAATTGCCTATGCATGAGATTAGGCAGCAATTTGTCAATGAGCCTCAGCGATCATTTGCTTTCGTGTCATGTGCCATGAGGTGTTTGACAATCGCTCAGAATGTTGGGTACGACCGAGGAGAGCTGCCCGTATTTACTATTCACTCAGATGCTGTCGGACGAATAGCTTTTGTATTACCGATCGAATGACCGGCCAACGAACTTTAGGGGCGTTACGAGCGACCAGCAGGTGCTGAAACCCACGGCGTCGCTTGTACTTTGTTCGACGAGCGCTCTTCACATTCAGACGGGTCATGTCACTCGAACAAAGCCCCGACTAGTTATATCAGCGCGTATCGTCGATTCGGTCCATATGTGGGGTCAAAGCTGCTGGTTGCAATCCATGTTTGATTGTATTTACTTCAGCTACGAATAAACTTCGAAATGTGTATCGTGACTTTTTGTTTGATTAGCAACGTTTTTCAAATGCAGTGATTTTTTAAACTAAAATGATCATATGCGAAAAGTTAGAAACATCTTTCATAAAAATATCTGCGTAGTGTTGAGATGTATTATGTTTCCTACTTTTTATTTACCATGTTTATCACTAACTTCAAACAACTGTTAAAACTTTAAAAAAAAATGAAACGTAATATTCTCACAGCGTTTTTGACGCCTACTATGTGTTATGTGTATGCGTCACGGACGCCCTTCACCGCCGTACGCCTATCATTAACGATGGCACACCGATAGCAGGTAATACCACAGGTGGCTCCAGCCCCCTTCCGACCATCGCCATACTTTATGACAGGGTGGCGTCGGTGCTAGGCCCGATCGATGAATCGAGCGGCCCCGTCACCCGTGTTGACAGACGGTATCGCTCCTGACCCGACACCTGTTGGTGAACTGCACGATATATGTCACGCGGCGACCCGCTATTGAGCTATTGCTTTATCCGGTTAGGCGCTCGGCTAGACAGGGGTCGAAGTGTCGGATCGAACGGGGCTGTTGGGCAGAACTGGACAGACTGGACAGACAGGAGGCGGGTGAATCGGGGTGGTTCAAAGCTATTGAGGACGATCGTCCATGGTCCATACATATGTAGACCAAAGATCGAGCATACGCCGGTGACGTTTCACTCGTAAAGGAACGGAAATATCATGTACAATGTGCGTCGAACGTCACAGATACAGCTGAGTTAGCCAACTACCACCGCACGTGCGCACACTACAGTCTTCTCCAAGCATGTGGATAACAGGATAAGCATGGAGTAGCGGCAGGCATCTGACAATAAATAAAATAAATAAATAAATAAATAAATAAATAAATAAATAAATAAATAAATAAAAATAATAAATAGCTGCTCTACAGGTGACCATATTGATAGTAGTTGACCTAACCGGTGCGAAACGCCACACACTTTAGAAATTCACTTTGAAAGTCTTAATTTAGAGCGTCAGATGAGCGAAAAATAAGTTATATTGTAGCCGTTCGCCGTCTTCATTCACCGTCAAAACATGTAGCCGTTCCACGCCTGTATTCACCGTCCACCTTCCACCGAGCCCCGCAACCGACTCCCCGCGCCGCCCGCCGCCCGACCCGCCGAGCGGCCCGCACCGCCCCAGGGCAGGCCGGCCGCCCGGCGAGCCGAGGCGCCGCCAGCTCGCGGCCGGCCACCCGAGCACACACAGCGAGATGCAAATTCCAATACCACACGTCCACATCTCCCCCCTTTAGCATCTCGCCCACATCAAAACACAAGGATCACCGCTATGACCAAAACACAAGAATCACCGTTATAACAGCATAACAGCGCCAATTCACATAACCTCTTCCAACACGTCATTACGCTCACGCTGATACAAAACGCCTATGCCATATACCAAAACACAACACAACTTGAGGACGAGCTCGGCCACCGTGACGATGAAGGCGGTCGTCTGCTTCATCGATTATACGGTGGGGTGACGCGTCACGTCCACCGCGCACGCGGAGAAACCAACAGGCGCGTGCTCGACAACCAGTCGAAGAGCACGTCAGAGGGAGGCAGCAGCAGCTGGATCAGCTGGGTCGGCTACTGCCGGCAGCACAAGAAAAACAACAAAACAAAAACAAGAAGAATCACACACGACATTCTAACTATAGCCCCACCTATCTGGCGCTTCTCTGACACGGCCCGACCGCCTGGGTATCTCCCGGCCCACGTCATCAAACCTCACAGTCCGCTTAGCCGCTGAGGTCGCGCGAGTCCTCTGTTGAGGAGCGCTAGCCGGTGGGCGGGAGACAGCCAGCTGAGCGCCGTCGTTCTTGGGAGGAGGCGTCGTCTGTTGGGCACTGCTGCTCACACGAGGAGGAGGCGTCGTCTGTTGGGCACTGCTGCTCACACGAGGAGGCGTCGTTTGCTGGGACCGATCCTGGGCCCGACGAGTGTTCTTCAAGATGCCTGGAAGACGCCGCTCGCCCGCTGAGCCAACAGAAGTCAGCACCCCACCGGCCGGTAGAGGAGGGTGCATGCTGCAGCCTCTGCCCTCTCCATCTTCTCGCACCTCCTCGAGCCGGCGCAGGTAGGACGGTGCAGTTATCCACGGGCGAAGCTGCGTGTGATGCGCCCTCAGCTCGGCTCCGGTGTCCCTCTCCAGAGTGTAGGTGACGTCATTGCTGTTCAGAGACTTCACCTTGAAGGGACCGTCGAATCGCTGCTCGAACTTGCCAGTCAGCAGGTTACCAGGTCGCTGCGTTTCCCGCTTAACCAGCTGGCCCACTTCGAATGGCGCGAAGCTCGGGTTTCCAGGCCGCCAGCAGCTCTGTCGCTCCACCGATACCAGCGGAACGCTGACGCCACCGTGCTTCTGCTTCAGCAGAAAATCTGCTGGAGAGTCACCAAGCTGAGAGTGGCTGGTCCCGTTGTAGGTCGCCATGGCCTTCGGAAGATGTAGGTCCCAGTCTCCAGGCTTGTCGGCAGACAACATGCGAAGCTCCTGACTCAGGGTGCGGTTCAGCCGCTCGACAGCTCCGTTGCCCTGCGGTCTGTAGGGTGTAGAGAATGTCTGCTGGATCCCCCACCTCCTCAGCACCTCTTGAAGCTCCGGACCCACGAACTCGCCACCATTGTCCGTCAGAAGTCGCGCAGGCCTGCGCAGAAGAACTGGCAGGACTCGCTGTTCCAGGGCGACTGCAACCGCAGCAGACGTCTTCCTCCTTACTGGTACCGCCACCGCCCACTTGGAGAAGTGATCTACAACCACAAGACATCCAATGAAGCCACGTGGGGTGCGAGGGAACATCACAAGATCAGCAGCAGCCAGCTCAAAAGGTGCTCGACTCTGAAGGCGCTGAACAGGTGCAGCGATCCTCTGAGGGGACGATTTATACAGCTGACATTGACGGCAACTTCGGGCAACATCGGCTACAACCTTGTTCAATCCTGGACAGAACACCTGGCTGGCGATCAGATCGAACAACTTGTCCCTGCCAATGTGAGCCATCCCCTGGTGAGCTGCGGTTACAAGTTCCGCCAGCCAGAGCTTGGAAATGACAGGTAGGTCCCCATACTTGCTGTGACGGTACATCAACAAGTCATTGCTGACAAACAGATCATTGAGATGCTTACCGAAATGTTCCAGTTCTCTGGGCAATTCTTGTTCTGTCAGCTTCTGCCGAACATGGCTAGTGAGCTCATGAAGAAGACGATCCTGGTGTTGGTGTTCTCGGACAGAGGCGATGTCTGGGATTCGCTCTCGGCTGTCAGGCAGAAGAACGTCTTCAGCGTCACTGCATTCCTGCGAGGACATCACCAGAGTCAGACCGGTTGCAGTGTTCTTGAAAGCACAGTGACCGCTCATGGCGTGCTCCCCATAAACACTGCTTATCAGCCGCCTTCCAAAATCCAACTCGACACAAGCAGACGTAAGGAAGTTTGCACCCAGCAACACACAGTGGCCGAACGAGTTATCTGAATCAATCAGCAGACGTACCGTTTGTGGGTCCCCGTCCCCAGGTAAGGCCACGTCTGCTTCGAGATAGCCGGTGCAGTTGGTGAGTCCTCCGATGCCTCGAACTGATACAGCGCTGGGAATCACATCCGCCTCCCTGGTGCCGATCAGCTCCAACGCTGCGCGGCTGACCATGGACACAGCTGCTCCGCTGTCGAGAAGGGCACAGACTGGTCTGTCATTCACGTATACGGTCGCAGCGCATGAAGCGCTGGACTGATGATCACAGAGAGGGTGTACAAGCAGACCGTCCTCAGGCGAACCACCCTCTTCAGTCGCACACATTGTGACACGTTCTGGCAGTTTGACTCTACACATCATTTGTGATCTCACCTATTCTTGGATGTGAGCCACGAGGACGGTGTTCTGTGTCTGGAAGTTCTTGTTCTCCTTCAGCAAGTTGAAGTGGACTCCTCCCAGACACTGGAGATGAAGAGTTTGACCAGCCACTTCCTCCCCGTCTGGACCGGTGAAGATCATGGGATGATGGCCACCGAAGTGGACGATGACCCGTACCCTCATCAGAGTAGCGAACACCGCCACCATCTCAACAGACAACGGCTGACCTGGGACCTTCATGCTTTTGAGTGTTTGTCGTGCGCGTCGATCCAACTTCATCTTGAACCTGCCCGGTGCTTTCATCACTTCGCCCACCAGCAGTTCTCGGAGCAGGTGGTTCTGTGCAGGCCGGCGGTCATTCTCCTCCATCCAGTGGCACAGGCAGTCGATCAGTGCATCACCTCCTCCCTCAGCTCTGTAGTACAGATCCAGACCAACTGGCAACTGGCGACAGACAGCCGGGAGCTCCGTCGGCAGTGGGTGAGCACGAGAGAACATATCTGCGGCGATGTTGGATGACCCTGGCACATAGCAGATCGTGAAGTCGAACTCCGAGAGCTCCTCCATCGTCCTGGCGATCCGACTGTTGACAAGATGCATGCTGTGCATGTACACCAGTGCCTGGTGATCCGTGCAGACTCTAAATGACACGCCACCGAGGAATGGCTTGAAGGCCTTGACGACACCCCAACGGAGAGCTGCGAGTTCCAGTTCGGTGACTGAGTAATTCTGCTGTGAGCGAGAGAAGGTCATTGAGGCAAACCCGATGTGACGAGTTTCTCCGTCTTGTTCCTGAGTCAGACAGGCCCCCGCCCCAACCTGAGACGCGTCTGTCCAAAGAGTGAGAGGCTGCGCGTCCTCTGTGTAGTCGGGGAAGGCCAGCGTGACTTCCTCCTCCATTACCTGCTTCAGTTTCTCGAAGGCGTCAGTCATCTGGTCCGTCCACGTAATGACTGTGGGGCCTGGCTGGCCTGTCAGGTCCGTCAGGGGCTTGCTGATGCTGGAACAGTGGCGCACGAACTTCCTCTGGAAGTTGATCACCCCCAGGAACTGTCGGAGCTGCTTCACGGTCTGAGGGCGTGGCAGACTGCGCACCTTCTTGATGTATTCTGGTGATCTACGCAGACCTCGCTCACTGATGACGTGGCCGAGGAAGGGTACTTCTGGCTGGAACCAGACACACTTCTTGGCATTCAGCTTGATGCCCTGCGACTCGAGTGCCAGGAGCACGTCGTCCACGAGCTGAAGATGCTTCTCAAAGTTCTTCTCCATCAGGAGCAGGTCGTCCAAGTAGATGACGAGGTTTCGCCTGGAGAACCCCTGCAGCACCGTCTGCATCTCTCGCTGGAATGCTGCTGGAGCATTCTTCAAGCCGAACGGTAACCTGCGGAACCTCCAGTGCTGCCGTGCTGTCGAGAAGGCGGTGTAGTCCTTTGATGACTCCTCCAAGGGCACTTGGTAGTAGCCCTTGGCCAGGTCCAGCGTGGTGAAGAACTTCATGCCGTGGGCGCTGTACACTGAGTCCGTGACGTCGGCCATCGGGAAGCGGGTGGCCACCGTCTGCTTGTTGAGTCGACGGTAGTCAATACATAGCCGTAGAGATCCGTCCTTCTTTCGTACTGGCACAACGGGCGCCGACCACGCAGAGTCGCATCTCTCTATGATGCCCAGACGCTCCAGATCCAGGCACTGGCGCTCGATTTCCTCTGCTGCTGGCGGCGACATCCTCCTGGGCGGTACGTAAACCGGCGTGTCGTCCTTCAAGACGATCCTGTGTGCAGTCAGGGACGTGCGCAGTGGATCAGAAGCAGAACTGCTGAATACTGCTGCGTGACGCTGAAATAGATCGTCTACAGCAGCGCGCTGCGACACCGTCAGTCCCGGAACCTCTGTTGATGACAGCGTCACGTCACAGCTCTCCTCTTCACTCACTGAGAACACGTCACATGGCTGCTCCAAGTCCTTGCTGGCGTCTGCAGCAGTAGCAAGGTAACCCACAACCTCACCACGGCGAATACGGACAGCCATCCGACCACGGTTGCAGGCGAGAACTCGGGGCTGACTGTCACACGCCAGTCCAGGAACAAGACTGACATCAAGACCAGGCTGTGCTTCAAACAGAAGATGACGCTGGCTGATCGTACACTCTGAACAGCGCGGCTGCTCGGGAACGGTGTAGGGCACAGCAACTGAGCACCCTGGGGCGATATCAACATCTTCTGCTGCTCGGCAAGGAATGTCAGCAACAAAAATCATACACTCAGGCTGCTGGAGGTTCAATGGCATGTAAACCGTCCAATGGGAACCATCAGAATTGCGTCCAGAAACCGATCTTCGGGCGACGTCCACACACAAGCCCAGCCGCTCCAGCGTGTCACGGCCAACAATGACATCTGTGGGCGACTCCGCGTCAGACAACACCAGACAGTCGGTCAGCTCCAGGTGCACTCCATGCAGATTCAGGTCGACTGTCGCAATTCCCAGTGGCTCAACGACACAACCCCCAATGGCACGCACCCGAGCAGCACTTCTGGCAAGCAAGACACCATCAGATACAACATGACTGGCGACGAGAGTCCGTGAGGAGCCGGAGTCAATGATGACATCAGCTGATCGCCCTGAAACTATGGCACGGGAACGAAGGAGGTGCTCCGGCTCAAGAGCGGACGCAAACACCGAATCCAGCTCTGAGCCGGTCGACACAGGTGCTCCTGATGAACGGCCAGACACAACAGACTCGGTGGAGACAGGGCTCGAGTCGGTCACCACGTCCTGCCCTGATGGAGACGTGGGACCCGCTAGTTTCCCGGAGAAGGCGAACGATCATCACGAACACGTGAACCAGTTGAACGGGAACCATCCCTGTGTCTCTCTGCCCCATTTCTGCGCCGTCTTCGGGTCCCTCGACCATACCCTGACCTTCTCCCCCCAGGGGGGTCCGGAGATGGCACTTGCTGACTCGGGCCTGAACTCGCTCTCTGATTCTCCACTGGAGATCTATGACGGGAGCGAGGGGCACTCTGCGATCTCTGACGCGAACGGGGCACGTTACAATCGCGCATATAATGCCCAGGGCGGCCACAAGAAAAACAGAGATCCTGTTTCCGACGACACTCACGCTCAACATGTCCAAAGCGGCCGCAGAAGAAGCAGCGAAGTAGTGGGCGTCGATCGCCAGTCGCTGAAGAGTTAGACGAGGAATGCTCTCGTTGATGAGGTTGTTGGACGCGCTGTTGTTCCTCGCTGCTCGTCGTATGTCTCCGGCGCCGGGCGGCTGCGGCTGGAGACACCATCCTCCTCTGCTGTGACCGTGATGAACGGCTCCTGTTCGCTTGCTCGGCTGTATAGAAGAGAGATGGATCGGCGTTAGACACCACTTCCTCATCCAGCCTCTCACGCTCCAACAGGGACAGCAGGTTTTGCCACGTCAGGGTTATGCCATGAATCTCGCGTGTATAGTGAATCTGTCGGCGTAGGTAGTCAGCAGCACGATGCGGCAGGTTGTCAAGCAAGTGCTGACGCAACTCCTGAGACGTTTGTATGTCCTGATCGGGATACGCATCGTTATACACAGAGGCCACTCTGAGCGCGAACAGTGCCAGTGACTCACCCTGGTTCCTCCTACACGACCGAAAACGATCGCGTGCCGAGCAGTTACCAGAGAGCTCCTGCCGCTTCATCCAGTCGAGCATCCGACGTTTCACCGTCTGGTAGGGGTTGAAGACGTCCCCGCAGGCCACAAAGACATCAAGAATCTGTCCTGAAAGCTTGGATTTCAGCAACGGCAGAGCCTGGTCAAGACTTCCTGCGTACACATTCTCACAGTGCTCTTCAAATCGATCGAGATAGTGAGCGAGGGACTGCCTGCCACCCAAAGAAAAACTGGCCAGCTCATGAACCTGCTGTACAACAAAGCGAGTCGATGGTACAGAGTCGGTATTGGGCGGCACGAACCGAGTCTGGGAGCGATTCGGCGTGAACTGAGGCACATTCTCATCCGGACACACGGGCATACACAGTGTTAGAGGCTGACCTGTTAGTCCGTCGGCTGCAGCACCGGATGATGCAGCCGGAGCCGGGGTTCCCCGGTTGTCCGCAGACTCGGGAACAGGCACCCCGGCCGTACCGGGCGCCGCTGCCGCTGATGTTAGCGACAGCTCCAGGCGCCGGCTCAGGTCACGTATGGACTGCTGTTGCTCAGTGATGCGCTGAAGAGCAGTCGCCAGCTGTTCCCTCAGCTCATGAAGTTCCTCCGCGCGATTGCTGTCATTTTCGGCGTCCGACATGGTGGCGACTGGCGAGCCCGCGGAGCGGCAGAGCGCGGCACAGGCCCGACGTAAGCGGCGCGTTCTGGTGCAGACTGGACGCGGCGCGGCGCAGGCTCAGCGTGGAGCGGCACGGCACGGCCAAACGTGGCGCGGTGCGGCGCAGGCTTGATGTGGAGTGGCGCGGCGCGGCGCAGGCTCGACGTGGAGAGGCGCGGCGCGGCCAAATGTGGCGTGGCGCGGCGCAGACCTAACGTGGCGCGGCGCGGCGCAGGCTCGACGTGGAGAGGCGCGGCGCGGCCAAACGTGGCACGGCGCGGCGCAAGCTCGACGTGGAGAGGCGCGGCGCGGCCAAACGTGGCGCGGAGCGGTGTAGCCTCGACGTGGAGAGGCGCGGCGCGGCCAACGTGGCGCGGCGCGGCGCAGGCTTGACGTGGAGTGGCGCGGCGCGGCCAAATGTGGCGTGGCGCGGCGCGGCGCAGGCTCGACGTGGAGAGGCGCGGCGCGGCCAAACGTGGCGCGGCGCGGCGCAGGCTCAGCCTCGACGACGAGAGGCGCGGCGCGGCCAAACGTGGCGCGGCGCGGCCAAACGTGGCGCGGTGCGGAGCAGGCTCGACGTGGAGCGGCGCGGCGCAGACCCAACGTGGCGCGGATAATGTAGAGCTCAGTACGTGAGCGCGAGTACTTGCTGGGCGCCGACTTGCTGGCTTGCTAGG